ACCTGTCGTAACTCATAGAATGTTCATATCTAACTCTAATACATTATATTTGTTTCTGTTCTTCTTGTTTTATGTAAGAGTCATGGAATGTTAACCCAACTTGTAACAAACGTAAGATCACAGAATGATAACTTATTTCGTCACATTTTCTCTTCTAACCCATCCTACGATCAGAATACTGATACCGAATTGTAAAAATGTTGTTAGTGTCGTAGTGATATTCACGATAGAGTTCTTATTGACATTGGTAAGTTACATAACAATAGATTCTGCGCTACAGTTTATGTTATATACTAAAACGTGATCAGGGCCACAAAATTTATTTTTATTAACGTATAAGGATAATTCTAAATAACATGCTATGTTATTAGAATAAACACAAAACACGTTGTAAATTTACGTGTCAAAAAATATTCGTCCACATTGAGAAAGAAATTTTATACCAACAAGCGTTGTATAGCTGTATCAGCTCTCATCACCACAGTTGTGTTGATAATAGGACATTGTATAGGAGTGGGGATTAGGTGCACGTGCGTTTTTTGCTGTTGTTGTTAGCAATAGAGCTTGACGCATCTAGCTTTGCAGCTAGATTTGGCTCCTTGTGCAATAGTGTAGACTGAAATAAAAGCAATCTTGTTTTAGTTTTTCCTCAGTAGAGATGTTGTTTCCTGCAACCATATTGAAACACCATGATTGTTTATAAAAACGACCACAGTCATCCTTCTGCTATCTGGATGACTATCGAATATTTTGCACGATGCCTTAAGGGTACTGGGTTGCAACGAACAACAGGATTTGGAAGTTTCTATCTAGAGAGCCTAAAATTCAACCGAAAAATAGCAACTTTCAAAACTTCATTAATTTACTGTAGTATGATATAAAACTAAAAATAATACTTAACACACTTTTTATCGTTGTGTATATATACAATAATATTACTCGATTAAACTCGAACGCATTTCGCATAACTGAAACCTAGATTTCATGTATTATATGAATGTTTCAACACTACTTGCTCTGCTATCTGAAGGATGTCCACCTAGGAAGAACAACGTTTCCTTAAGTTTTGCGGAGTTTCAATAAAACACAATCTACTACAAGTGAAGTTCCCAGACTGCGTTCTCTCTTGTTGTCTGTTACAAGTTGTAGTTTCAATGTGGTGTGTGTGTGTTTATTCAAATAAAAAAAAAATTATATATCTTAAACGTTACTGTAGAAAGAATTAAAGCTGAACGAGCATCTATCACAACTGATTGCTAGAGTAGTATCCAGTGTAAATATCTGTTTAATATGCAGGTTTGATGTAGGTGAAAAAACTGGCAGTATTTTATTACTTTCAAGGAATGATAAATGGAAAATAAAGTATTGTAAGTCATGTTTAAACATAGCATGTGGTAAGCACATGTTAGTAAATATTCGTTGTTAGATAAATAATACAAAACTAAACGTTAACTACATATGCAACACTTCTATGAAGATGGTGGAAGTCAAACACTAAACTGTATACTGTATTCTAAGCCTCCGTGTAAAATATATATTTCAACTAATAAAAATTATAAAAGGTTTAAATATGGTGCCCCAAAAGTTAGCTGTTCCAGAGCAGCAGAAGAGAATTATCCAACTGATTTTTTAAAGTGCGAGAGTGTTATTTTGTTTGTATTTCCAGCTTTAGTTTCAGGATTTAATGTTTTCTAATTGTTCATCGCAAATAATGAGTAAGGTATTCAACTCCAAATTCAATGTTTTACCTAAAGGTAGACCGTGCACATTAGTGTTCGGGTTTTGTCTGTGAGATTACAGGAACACTTAAGTTCCTAATTTAAAACTTATATGATTTTATAGTTCCTGCAATGTCTGAAGTACAAAGGTGTTCTATCAGATTATAATTTAACAACGTCAAAAACACAGGGAAGTTAGCCATAAAACGCTGAACAACAACTTTATCCAGTATTCTTTGTTGTGTGCAAGTCTGAAAGTAAACATGTTTGGTGACATATCTGCAAAATGTAAGTGCAATGATAAAAATAAAACGTTCAGGGCCTCTTATGAATGAACGTATTTCACCTGGAATGCTTAAGGATAATCATAGCTTATCTAGACTTAAATTTATATTCACTATTAGTACAACTAAAGAAGAAATGTGACAGGGTCGAAATTTGTATCCATATAAATTTGTGTTCTTCCATAATAGTGGATATAAATTATATTTCACGTTACTTTACACGGTATTGTGTATTTCTCTGTCATGACCTTTGTCGAAACATTCATGTTAAAGAGGCTCTCTCTATTCTACTTTGAGAACCTACTTTAGACATTAAGCAATCAGTTTTTTTTATCAGTCGTGACTGTACGTCTTTCATCTACGTTGGCTGAAAATGATCATATTTCATGGTTAAATCTTCATACTAAAAAGGCTCTAATCACCATCCAGCATTATAGGCGTGAATATTTTTTAAACACCAACCAGTCTACAATTTAACCTCTCTCTAAAATGAAAGTTACCCTAATTTATAACATACATGTATATATATATATATATATATATATATCTTTATAAAATACTTATTTATAAACTATAAAGGTATTAAACAGTAAAACACCGGCGGCCAGAGCCAGTCTTTTGTTGAACAACCTGTAATGAATTTTACAGCTCTGGTTATAAGATATGAAAATTACTGAATTTAATCTCAGTTTTATAAACTGCTGTAACATGGTTATAGCAATATTATATGTATTCTCAGGTATAACTGGCTGCGTAGTTCGAATATCATAATCAATTGAAATATATGCATATATATATACTGCACATGTTGTAAAGACGTAAATCATACGACGTAGTAGCTTTTCTTGGTAAAGTGCGAAGACACCAAACACGTTGTATAACGAAAGAATACTATATCGATAATACAGAAATCATATATCACGATTTTTAATTAAAGGAATTTGGAAATTAATTACTTCAATCACTTGACGAGAACCTCGTTTTGAAGTTTTCAGATTTTTGTTTCCTCTTTTCTTTGGTAATTACAGAAAAGTGCATTCAGTCAGAAATACTCGATGTAAGCCTAATCTGGCGATGCGAAAACGAATCTTGCAACCCGCATACCGGCATGTTCGTATGCACTACATATTTCAAACCAGAAGTGTTTAAAATGGCATTTCTGACCTATCTTGTTGTTCCGATAAAGCAACAACACACTTTCCTGTTTTTGAACAATTTGTCGAACGCAATGGAATGATTGTGTGTAAAATGTTGCGTCAAAGACGCTGTTTTTATATTGCTTATCTCTTACATTTTCAGGTCACCATGGTAACTCTCATAATACAATTCAACTTTATTAGACTTCAACACAGGTGATAATGTATATAACAACATTGATGTTGAAAATTTTACCTCACAACCAGAAGACTAGTTCATTTACATTGAGTTTCGGCTTCACCTTCGTTCACTGCTGTCATTCACATTTGATTCATTTCAGTCTAAAGGTTTTCTGTTTTGAACTTTCTATCTTGTTGCTCGCCGGTGGATAAGCGGTAAGTCTACGTACTTACAACGTCATAATTCTGGATTCGATTTCCCGTGATGGACTAAACGCCGATAGGCCAATGCGTAGCTTTGGGCTAAAATAAACAAACCTGCCTCGTTACACTTATATTTATTTTAATGATCGTATACAAATGTTCTTTGTAATTAGTTCTAGCACTCAGTTGTTCAATTATTCCATATGCTAGTTAATGCTTTATCACTTCTTTTCAGAAAAGTTTTATATCTTCTCTTTGTAAGTCTGCGGACTTACAAAGCTAGCAACCGGGTTTCGATACCCGTGGTGGGCAGAGCACAGATAGCCCTTTGTGTAGCTTTGTGCTTAATGACAAACAAACAAGCACCCATGCCTTTTTAATATTTCTTCTTCTACACCCAAAATTGTTGTCACACATTTCGCCGCCTTCGCCTCCAATAAAAGAGTTCTGGTCAAGGATTTGAATCACGTCACCGAACACGCTCGCCTTTTTAGCCGTGAAGGCGTTATGGTTTGAGAGTCAACCTAATTTTTCGTTGTTAAAAGAGTGGCCTAAGAGTTGGCGGTGGGTGGTGCTGATTAGCTGCCTTCTCTCTCTTGTCTTTCACTTCTAATTAGGGACAGCTAGCGCAGAGTAGCTATGTGCAAAATTCAGCAAAAACATTAATATCAGTACAAGTAAGCACTCTTCCATATTGTCATGAAAAACTAACAAAAAATTCATGAAGTCACTTAGGATCCTGTTATAAATATGTTGTTTATTGCTAACTTTATTTCGGGTGAAGGAAAGTCGACCTTCCTTAATCGCCAAAGTTAACTGTTTTTCCTTGTGGTTCTACGTGCTTTTCGAATATCACGTTAATTGGTTTTGAATTATGTTCATATAGTAGTAATTGTTTATAATATTCTGTGTGGCTCGGCATGACAAGTTGGTTAGTGCGCTTGACTCGCAATATAAGGGTCGAGGGGTCGAATCCCCAGTCCCCCCCAAATATGCTTGACCTTTCAGCCGTGGGGCGTTATAATGTTAGATATAATATATTCTTTTAAAAATAGCTCTAAGTAATACGAATTTCATTAGAAAAGAAAACTAGACTTCTTTATTACAAAAAAAAAAAAGATAACTGTTACTAAATATAGAGCTATCCGGTTTCTCACTGATAATTCTGAGAGATTATAACGCTAAAAACTGAGTTTTGATACCCGCTATGAGCGAATTACAGATTACCTTCGTGCTTATCTACAAACAAACCTAAACCTAGAGGTAGTTTATATTAGTCGTGAAAGAATACCAGCTCAGGATCAACAAAAGTTAAACGATGATTTTGTTTATTTTGTTTTAGTTTATCAGATGCAAAGAAAATCATGTTGGATGCTAGTTTGGGTTTTGCTATTTTAAATACCTAAGTCTTTTTTCTTTAAAAAAAAAGTCAAAAGCAAAACATTTTTGAGGAAATTGCATTTATTAAAAATCTGTTTTATACAACCAATTTGAAAGAAGAATATTGCTACATAACGGTAAATTAATTACAAGAAAAAAATATTGTAATTCGTCAAGTGATATCTCATGACTTCACCACAAAACAATTATTTTCAAGACATTCTAATTGAACCTCACATATCTACATTATAACTGATGTAAATGCTACGACTTCTCATCACACAAAAGCTCAAAAACAAGGACTTTGACGATCTGTAACAACTAGCTTATGTTTAATTGAAACATGTAGGATAATTATTTACGTGAGTTATTCACTCAGTTCAGACACATTTCATATTTCAGGTGTCAGTTCGATAAGATCCTCCTTCAAAGTAGACTATACACTAGATGAAATAACGCATAGCTTGGCTGAGGATCTATAGATACACGTAAATATCAGCTTTTTTTTTTATAGAGCTGAGATTCTAAATACATTCATGTACTTTTTCTAGCTAAATTTACGTATAGACCATAAAGGCTAATTAATATCGTCCGATACATTGATCATAAATTCTCATTTGAGCAGTTCAACATTAAATTAATTGGATTTCTCACACTTCTTTCTTCAAATCTTGGTATAGGATTTTTTTAATTTCAGTTAGGTACATAACCGAAACAACTGATTACTAACTTTGTTTAAAACACGTTTAAAATGAAAAATTTAAGAGCATGGTATGTCAGCCGAACTCCACAATGTTACCTTGTTGATTTTTCTTTAATCCACGTTGTTTGATCTAAGCTTTCTCCTTAACAATCAAAATCAAAAACTTTCCAATATTTGGAAATTCGTTCGTTTCCATTATAACTATTCGAAATTGCTGCTATTCTCTATGTCGTAAGGCCTAGTATTCCACGGATCTCTCCTTTGAAATACACGTATTTTTTTACACAAACAGGTCTGATTCTGATCAAGACTGTGGTGTTATATAATACATATGAATATATACATATAGTTTCAATTGTCTCGCTTCTTTGAAGATGAAGCTGTTAGGATAGTATTACGTGAACGGTCACTTTAATGGTTACTTCGTGCTCTGTAACCTATGCTTTCCGTTGGACTTTCATCAACCTAAAAGTCCGTAAAACTTTAATTGCTGTAGCGGTCAAGAAGAAGCACGATGTTCTTTTGTCTTACCATGAGTGGTGAACCTGGGTTAGCCCACAAGTATATCTAAAGTGACCATTGCTATATCTCATCACACCACAGTGACCTATCTGAATAATGTATTATTAGTCCTTGGTGCAGGTTGGCTTAGTTTCTGAAACGAATCACTATTTCCATCAAATGAAACTACAGGAGAAAATTCGTAGCTGAAGATCTTAAACTGATCACTTGACAAGTATCACAACTATCGTGACGTTGTAAAGTCTCCGCCTCTTCCTAATCCTTCCCTCAATCGTACACTGCAGAAAGAGAATAAACCAACAGAAACTTCATTATTTAAATGAAATTGTAATGCACATACATTAATATATAATGTACATCATTATAGTTATTAAAGGGGTTGTTTACCAACACCTAACACTATATTTACGCTGTTCATTTTTGTGAAAATATTGAGTAAAAAACAAAATAATTAGTGAAATAAAAGGGTGGGATGAAAATTATCTTCCAACTATATATATAATTTTCATTCCATTGAATTAATCAAATATTAACGTTATAAAGATGTGACCGCTGTAAATACAGCGACAGCTTTTATAATAAAAAGAAAAAATGCCTTTGAGTGTTGCATCTCATAAAGTAAAAAGAAAATTTAGTTATATAATTTTAACCCGTTTGTACAGTCTTAAAGGTCTTTCACAATAACTCTCGTCATTCACAATTTTTAAATATAAAATTACTTTGAAGTATGCAATCGTTTTAAAGCGAAAACAGATCATACTATCAAGAACTACTTAAGTTTAAGTAGAGATTTCTTCAACAACTTCAAAACAAAATAGTAATAACGTAAAACTTTATTCCGTTTTTTTAATCTCAAATAAGAAAACTTGAAGGATGATGGGGATCTTTATCCTATTATACCTTTACAATGTGAAACTACGCTAGATAGGAACAGTGATTACGTTTAGGGCATTGCCCTATTTTCTTTATTTGCAGAGTAATAACCTCAACAAAACTTAATGGATACCAAAGATCCAAATTTGAATACGGTAGCTCAAAACAGTTTTATTTCGAGAGGGGGGGAGGAAGCAGTAAAAACGTTTAAGCAACTGAGAAAAGAATGCTAACTAACTTGTCCTGCCAGTACAAACTTTGGGTTTAGCTCTGGTCATATAGCCATATTTCTCCTGGAGCAAGCAAGGAGTCATAATTCATTTGGTGTGAAATTTTAAAAACTGTTCTCCCCATTTATAAATCGTTGTCTGTGGAATATTAATAACAAACTGAGATACCCGTCCTTTATTCGGGTTATAAACTTTAAAAAATGTGAGGGTAGTTTGGCTTATTTTGAATTTCGCGCAAAGCTACACGAGGATTATCTGCGCTAGCAGTCCCTAATTTAGCAGTGAAAGACATATTATTACAGCATTCATTATTACCTCACCAAACGTTTTGTATAAGCTTTAAGAACTCAGGGTGGGAGCAAGACAACTACCGGTGGACAACTGTCGGTGGACAATTGCCGGTACAAGACAACTGTCGCTTATTTATGATTAACTTTTAACTAGATAGGTCATGGGCACCAAACTAGCTTTGATCAAAGAAAATAAGTATATGTTATTATATATATGTGTGTGTGTGTATATTACACATTTCTGGACCGCCGGCAGTTGTCCTACAATTCCGTCAGGGTGACTTTGTAGGAAGAGATAACGGCCAAGGTTTTGGGTATAGGTGCTTTTTTGTTAACTACTTTCAACACCCAACTCTTAATGTCTTTCCACAGTGTTTCACGTGGTTAATTAATTGACGGTCATTGGCCGTAAAAGTGCTTTACAGGTCGAAATTGAAAGGTCACGGGTCAAAGTAGGTAGTGGATATAACTCAAGAAACGGCTCTTCATATTAGCCTGTCCCCCGGTGGGACAGCAGTAAGGCTATGGACTTACAACACTAAAATCTGGGGTTCGATTCCTCGCGGTGAACACAGCAGATAGCCTAATGTGGCTTTACTAAAAATAACAAACAAACAAACATGTCAGCCTTACGGCGGCAGTTGGGGTAAAAACGTCAGATACTTTATGTAGTACTGCAATAGTTGCGGCCATTGTTTTCATTGCATTTATCCATAGAGAGTGCTAGTGCACTTTCTGAGATATATAAGACGTTTATGTGCCATCCCCCACACTGTATGTCTGTATGTTATTCTATACAAAATTTAAGTTTGTTTATTTTTTGGTATAACGACGTGGCGCCATCTATGAGTGTAGTTAACGGTCATTTAGTCAAAGATAATAAATGCTCAATAACAGTAATAATGACGGGCGGAGGGGTTGTGAACCCCCATTAACATGCTTCTTGTCCCAAACTATCATCCCACAAAGTTTGGATGAGATTGGCCCAGCAACGTAGGACTAGTTAGATAACGGAGAAACTGACAGACACACATATTTTTGTGCTATATATATATATATATATATATACTAGTTAAAATTTGCGTCCGTTTTGCTAATGAATAGAAGCCGTCATTCCTAAAAATGTGTTTTGGATACGTGCACAAAGCTGCACAACAGCAATTAGAGTTAGCCGTCACCAATTTTGAACTGATAAAATACAAGGAAGAAAGATGGTCAACAGCACCCACCGACAACTCTTGAAACACTCTAATTGAATAATAGGAATTTACCCTCAGTCTTTTAACGCACACATGGCGCTAAAAAACGGAGTGCGATAAACTCTCAGATTTACAGTCCAGCACGCTAACTATTAGGCCACCCTCGACCCCAAATCCATTAAACAAAGCAAATGTTTCAAAACTAAAGTGATCCAAACGAGTCAAGAGAAGAAAAAAAACTTTTATTTCAAACTATCTATTAATAGTTATGGTGTTAAACAAAATATAAAAGTAGTGGTAGCATGGTAGCCTGGATGAGGACGTTTAAACCTATAACGCAATAGAGTCTGTGATGCATATCCAATAGCATCTCATGGAAAAAATTGAATTTTTATTATATTGTTTATAAATTTTAAATTTTGCTTTTAAGCAATTCATAGTAAAAATATTATACACTTAGACACAATTTTAGAACTTCCTAGCATGTTACTTGCATCATAAACTACCCACAGCTTTCCATTACTACCAGTAAAGTGGTGCTTGTAAAATGAGTCGATAAAAAAGAAATAACTTCATTCCACTAAGAGTGAAAAACACAAAAAACTACATTTTGAGGCACAGTGAAAGGTAAAGTATTTATTATTTCTCACAGTCGACTAGGTTCGGTAACACAGTTACCATAATTATGGTTAATATCTACTGTCGGCTATAACTAATAATATATATTTTACTTTTTACTGTGTCAAAAAAAAACCTCGGTTTTTTACTCTTAATCTAGTAGCACAATTAATTAATTCCAATCGTAACATTACCAGTAGTATCATTATATCAAATATTCAGTCCTTGGCCAAGAGCATTTGTTGCTAAAGAGAAGTAACTATAGACAAGGTATACTTTATATTTGATAAAGAGTATAATGTTATGATCAGCATTATTCCTCCAAATGTGATGAAGGAAAAAGTTTTTTGACTCAAAATGTTGATGGTACAGTTGTACTTAGAAATCTTGACTTATAATCTCAGCAGGTGTAAACATTGGATTGGCGGAATTTTTGTCAAGCTTAATATAATTATTGGTGAATTTTGTATATAAAAGTTTGATTTTTAAAACAAGAGTTACCAAAAATACACAAATATATACCGATAAAATATTCTGGACAATCATGGATAGCTTGTACGATTTCTTTCAAATTAGTTTATTCTTCTTACTTTGTAAGACGTGAAGGGACTTTGGAACAAGACATTAATTATCGCCCCGCAGTGGCTAAAGAATAAGTCTGAGGGCTCACACAGCTAAAAACCGGGTTTCGATACAACACACACATAGCCCATTGTGTAACTTTCTGTTTAACAACAAATAAACAATAAGTATTTCTTCTTTTTTTTTACAAATTTTAATTAAAATGTAATATTTATCGTAACATTCCACATTAAACTTGCTGCACTGTATGTTTATATAATAAAAATAAGCATTACAAATGTTACACAGGTAATTTGCTTAATAAGCAATCTGTTTTAAACGATGTTACATCAGACTGCCTTCGGAAGAAGTTTAGTGCATGATTATTCAGTTTTACTCTTTACCTGTAGAATAATAATTGGTACTTTAAAGTAACTATTCATAAAGGTAAAATATCATATTACTAATAAGGCACTTGAATTTATCTTATTACGTTAAATTGAAGGCTAATATGTTGTATTTTCATAGGACTTTTTCTGTCAAGGCCAGTGTTTTTTAATGAAGAAATTTCACACTATCAAACCATACACGTAATTTACAATAATAATATCCACATCTTTTGAACCAAGGTAATCATAACAAGATTGAAAGTACAGAGTGGATCATAAGTACGTTTAACCAAGTAATGAACCAATGGTTCATTCAATCGGATGATCAACACAGAGTATAATTTGTTGTTACTACAACCACACAAACGTAGTAATTTCACAAGACACTTTCCTTTCTTAAAGCAATTGTACAAAGTGTTTTGCCTTCCTGATTTACACAGAGCTCATAATATTCAAATGACAAAGCGACAGATTTTTTTACACAAGGGTGCCATCTCAGCAGTCAGGTTATAAGAAACAAAAGTGAATTTAAAAAATTAAAGTAAGAATTATAATAAAAAAAATGGGTGTGCTGAAAACTCGTTCCGTAAACTTATGGCGCACCTTGTACTTTTAGAAACGTAGAAAGTTGTTTTCTTAATTTATTTCCAAACATATGTAAAGCTAGAGACTGGCCCATATAATAAAGTATTTCGCTGAAATGCTTTACTTTATCGTATTTGTTTATTTGTTTTCGATATTCGCACAAAGCTATACATATATGACTTTTACATTAAACCTAATATATCCAACATAACTTACAATAGAAAAAAGTAATAATAATAATGAGGTCCAAGCTAATTACTTAGATTTGGATATTACTTGTATAGAAGGTACAGTGTAGTTGACTATTTTTAATGAAAGAAGAGAGTAAAATTTTACCATTCTTGGTCTACCCACACCTAATAGTGTTATTCCTTGTATCATGTTAAAAGGTATTATGATATCTCAACTAAAACGGTTCTTAATAGTATGTAATAACTATAATTGTTTTATGGATAATGTTTTAGTATTAAAAAGTAAATTGAAAGATAATGGCTATAAAGACAGGCAATTAAAGAAATACATTTCTTTTTTCT